TTTAATTTTATTGCTATCAATGGCACTTCCCTACATGCTAACACACCAAAAGCAAGCTCTTGAATTGTTATGCTAAGGAACCCCACGTGGGTAAAGAATGATTTTTCTTGCCTTGCGTGTCTGAGAACACAAGCTCGTCTGCTTAAGACAGGTAATCACGTTACAGCAAGAATCTCACGAGATATTCACATTATTGTGATCCACCAGCAGGGTCAAATGATCCCGAGATTTCCACTTTTTCTAGGGACACTCAAACAGAAAGTTACCGTTTGGGTCTGCCTATAAATAAGGGAAATTCCCCTTACGAAATTGTTTATCTTCACATGAAGGTACATTTCCCTTCGACATTGAAAGTGCTGGTTCTGCAAATTTCTTACAGGGAAAGATGCCATCTCTCCAATAGCATGTCAACGTTCGGAAAAGTCTGTTTGAAAAACTGCCACCAGAAATTGCAGTACAAGATGAAAGTTAGGTTGTGTTTAAACTTGTCTGAAAACTGATTTTGTACCTATTTTTCGTATATAACTTCAGAGAATAAGTTACCGAGCTAAGCGTTCTGTCCAACGATTTAAAGAGTGGATTTTAGATTTCAGCCGTGAGAGGCGTGCACTTCAAAATGCGCGAGAGGAAAACGACAATCGCTTGTCTTCTCATCCAGATCTGCTGGAAGGTACACAATAACGTCTTCTGAACCCTGGGCCCACTTCCTTTTTGGCTAGTGCCGTGGGTCAAGGATCGTAAGTGCTAAGGACTTTATTTAATGTAAACTTCCGGTTAGCGTGACTTACTCAAAATAAACATCATGTTCGTGGAAAAAGAGTTCAAAGACATCAATCCCACAATATTCTCAACGGTTTGAGTTAAATTCAAACTGTTATGCTTGGAGCGTTTTTTAATCGGTTTGAAAAAAGCTGCGAGCTGTCAAAAGCTTAACAATAACTAAGAAAACAAATAAAATTTTCAGCCAGCCGATGTTCAAAGGAAACTATTCGGCTGAAAACTGGTTAAAGTTTCATCGTGAGTCGCCAAGAACACAAGCTCGATTATGAAATACAAAAACATGGAGTTTATTTACCTTGTTGGTGTTTTAAGCTCTCGGGCCGGTGGACTACTGAGAAGGAAAGTTTGAGGAAGTAATTCAGTGAGGTATTCAAGGTATTCAAACGCCTATTTAGGTGGTGGCCTGCTTACTGGCGGTAGTTTGTGTTTCAAGTGCGAGATTCAGAGCGGCGAATTCCCCTACCCCCTCTCCCCTCGCTTTGTCACTCGTCTCAAGTCTTCCACCCGTCCAACTTGGCGACCGAATATTTGCCTCGCTGAATCTTGCGCTTGAAAACACAAACTACCGCCTGCAAGCAGGCTAATAGAATCAGAATTTCTCGCATTTACAAGATAGTTAAATATGAAAAATCGCTCCGCTGAACTGAAAAAAAACTTCTCTTAATATCTGATATCGGTCTGAGCTTAAATGATCAGAGCAAACTTACCAAGTGAAACGCTGACTTAATTAAGCCGACATCGATCGATTTCGTTGGTTCACCATATGCTTTACATACTGATCCCCTCATCTAAACGAGTGCATGTTACGT